TACAGTGTACATAGATTCATTCACATCAGTCACTGTACCCTCATTTATCTTTAGGAGCCATCTGCCACTAGACCAAAGGACACATCAGGAGGGAGGGAGTGTGGAATTGCTGTAGAGCCTGTTTTACATCTACAGTGATGTTACAGACACTTCCTGTTGGATACATTGCCTGTTTATTTTCTGTGAGTGTCTACAGACCTGCTAACTGTGGTGGAAAACCTCAACAAGAGGCCCTTTGCAGATATGATGCCTGGGCCCTTCCTCCACTCTGCTATTCAATGAAAACAATATAACTGGTAAAAATAACACAAAGTGAAATGCAGGGAGATTAAATAAGCAAAAAGAAACAAAGAAAGAAAGTTGGTTATTTGTGCATACAATGCTTAATAATTTCCTTAGACTTTTGAGATAAGAGAATGTGGCAGCAACATATAGGCTCAATTCACAAAGCATAACACATATTTTCTGTACACTGCGTTATTTACTTTTTATGGTGATAATGTGACTTGTCAACTGAATGAAGCCATTACTCCATGGATGGTATGAATTTATCATAAGCACATATTTACTGCATGTGCATTTAATGATTTTTTTGCTCTTACTGTTTTTCTTAGATGTTAGTCATGTTGAGCCACCACTAGCCCCCATTTGCTAATTTGCCATATCCTCTTATTCAGCCAGCTTCAGCCACCCCTCTCCCCCCTCCCTGTGATGACTCCCCAGATTCAGCTGGCTGCCCTGCTAATGTACATTCTTCCTGTATCTCAGCTAGAGCTGCAGCTAACGATTATTTTCAAAATCGATTAGTTATGCGATTATTAAAGCTCCCACTAAAAAAAGTATCCTGTCCATGTTAGTCATATACACATGCCCCATGTATATTGATGGTTAGTGTAAATGTCCTATATTGTTGGTCAGGGTAGAATCCCCTCTTACATTGGTGGTCAGTGTAAATGCCCCCCATTACATTGAAGGTCAGTGTGGAATTCTCTGTTACACTGGTGCCTAGGGTAAATATTACATACATTGATAGTCAGTGTAAATGCATGCATGAACATAATATAAAAGGCTGCACGTGCACATACAGTGGGGGAAATTTATCAAAACTGGAGCAAACTGAATCTGGAGCAGTTGCCCATAGTAGCCAATCAGCTTCTCTCTTCAGTTTGTTCAAGTAAGATTTGAAAAGGAGACAAAGAAGCTGATGCAGTGCAGTGCACATCTGCTCCAGAATTTGTCTGCTCCAGTTTTGATAAATTCCCCCCAGTATATGTTATAGATTATCAAGTGTTTTTTTTTGAACAGTTGAATGTTGTAGAACTGCTGAAAGTTGTCAGTTCCTCTGGAGTCTTTTACATTTCCAATTCAATATATGGAATCTATAGAATGTGGATTACATGTGTCACATGTAGCATATTTTGATAACTGGAACTGCATTTTTCACCAGGCTTTATTGACCTGAGGCAATGGCAATTATAGATACCAGCCTGCTCTTTAGTTACTGCTCAAGTGATCACACCGCACATTGATACAAAGACACATCCATTTCCTCATTTCCACATTGGTGGTCAGTGTAAATGCCCCATTACATTGAAGGTCAGTGTAGAGTTCCCTGTTACATTGGTAGCTAGTGTAAATACCCCATTACTATGAACGTCAGTGTAGAATTCCCTGTTACATTGGTGGCCAGTGTAAGTGCCCGCATTACATTGAAGGTCAGTGTAGAATTCCCTGTTACATTGGTGGCTAGTGTAAGTGCCCCCATTACATTGAAGGTCAGTGTAGAATTCCCTGTTACATTGGTAGCTAGTGTAAATACCCCATTACTATGAACGTCAGTGTAGAATTCCCTGTTACATTGGTGGCCAGTGTAAGTGCCCGCATTACATTGAAGGTCAGTGTAGAATTCCCTGTTACATTGGTGGCTAGTGTAAGTGCCCCCATTACATTAAAGGTCAGTGTAGAATTCCCTGTTACATTGGTGGCTTGTGTAAGTGCCCCATTACATTGAAGGTCAGTGTAGAATTCCCTGTTACATTGGTGGCTAGTGTAAATAAACCATTACATTGAAGGTCAGTGTAGAATTCCTTGTTACATTGGTGGCTAGTGTAAGTACCCCATTACATTGAATGTCAGTGTAGAATTCCCTGTTACATTGGTGGCTAGTGTAAGTGCCCCCATTACATTGAAGGTCAGTGTAGAATTCCCTGTTACATTGGTGGCTAGTGTAAATACCCCATTACATTGAAGGTCAGTGTAGAATTTCCTGTTACATTGGTGGCTAGTGTAAGTGCCCCCATTACATTGAAGGTCAGTGTAGAATTCCCTGTTACATTGGTGGCTAGTGTAAGTGCCCCCATTACATTAAAGGTCAGTGTAGAATTCCCTGTTACATTGGTGGCTAGTGTAAGTGCCCCCATTACATTAAAGGTCAGTGTAGAATTCCCTGTTACATTGGTGGCTTGTGTAAGTGCCCCATTACATTGCAGGTCAGTGTAGAATTCCCTGTTACATTGGTGGCTAGTGTAAGTGCCCCATTACATTGAAGGTCAGTGTAGAATTCCTTGTTACATTGGTGGCCAGTGTAAGTGCCCCCATTACATTGAAGGTCAGTGTAGAATTCCCTGTTACATTGGTGGCTAGTGTAAATACCCCATTACATTGAAGGTCAGTGTAGAATTCCCTGTTACATTGGTGACCAGTGTATGTGCCCCATTACATTGCACTGGTGCTTACGGTAAATATCCTGTACATTGATGCAGGGCTGGCGCTACCATATAGGCAGGTCAAGCATCTGCCTGAGGGTGCCGCTGTGGGGGGTGGAAAGATGCGACTGGGAGGTCGCCCCTTTAAGACGGTCGCGGCAGCGGCGATCACATCTCTCTGCGATCCCTCTCTCTCTACTCCCGGTCGCTGCATCTTCAGAGCTGCCAGGAGGAGAGAGGGAGTGCAGAGAGGTGTGATCAGTGCCGGTATGAAGAGCCGAGCAGAGCAGCGGCAGGGATCCTTTTGATGAGGTGAGACCCGTGCGCCCCCCCCCCCAACCCGACCCAAATCCATATGCTATCACACAGGGGATTCTTAGCTCCTGTGTGATAGCAATAAAGTTAAGTGAAAAATAAATGTAATTAAAAAAAAGATTTGATAAAACATTAGAAAATAAATAAAAATTATGAAAAAATAGAGGCATAAAATAAAAGGCTACAAGTGCACAGATACAACCTTTTATCAACTGTCTGTATTGTATTGCAAGTTGTCAGTTCATCTGGATTCTTCACATTTCCGATCAATGTATGGAAGCTACAGAATGTAGATTACATGTGTCACATGTAGCATGTTTTGATTACTGGAACTGTTTTTTTCACCACGTTTTATTGACCTGTGGCAATGGCACTTTTAGATCCTGTCCTGCTCTTTGGTCACCACTCAGGTGGCTAAACCGCACATTGATACAAAGTGGGCAACACATCCATTTACTGATCTGAAGAAGTCAGCTTTAAAACCACAGGTGGAATTTTCAGAGGTATTCTAGAACCAAAACAAAATATATTTATGTAAATAAAAACCATTTACAGGAATTCATTTTCAAATTCATTTATTTCCTATGCATTCATAACACATCTGAATTGCATTAATAGTGCAGAAATGTGCACAGGCCCTTAGCATCTCATTAACTGGCTGATAATAGATTGGCAGCGATGTTTTCTTTGTGGTTTTGTATATACAATATTCATCTAGAACAGAAGAGCACGGCTTGTGGATTAAGACATCAAACGTGTCCCACAAATATTTTTTGAGGTCCTCAGTTTATTAGTATGTTATTTATTCTTTTGATTCCTGTGCCATGGTACTTTCAGGGGGCCTGATTTTCTCTCCAGAAGGACTGAGTCAACTTTGTTCAACCACTTTCTAGGGTCAGCATCCATTTTCTGGACTGAGATGCTGGCCCAGCGATGACACAATGGAAGGAATTAAAAAAATTGTCTGAGACAAACGTTGTCTCAACTGGAGCACTGCCAATCAGATTTTACATTTTCATTTTCTAAGCTGCGTGGGAAAAATAAAGATAAAAACTGATTGGTTGCTACGGACAACTGCACCAGTTGGGATAGAACTTGTCTCAGACTATTTGTATTAATTTAATTTCCCTCAATGTACAGTATATTCTGGTAACACTGCATTTATTGTCTGTGCTCACAAATGTCTGACATAGATCAGCCTCTCACCACAGCCTCTCATCTTGCTAAAGGTGCAGCATTGCAGCCTGATCACTGGGGTAAGAGACTGAGGAAATGCTTCCTACTGATTGCAGCAAACCGATGGCATAATTTCAACCTAGACAGTCATTTAATTAGCGCTTATCGCTATAATTTATCTTTAAAGATAAAATTAGTTACAGTTTCTGTATGATATATGCCAGAAATCCTTGCAGACTTGTAAAGATATTTAATGATTTACTGTAAACAATTGTAAGTAGCTGTTTCTAGTTGAGGTCTTTCCAAACATCAGATCTGCTGCTTACGAACTCAGAAATATTGAATATATACACACACACAAAACACTTCCCTTTAAAGCAGATATTTTGTGTCTGCTTTTGTTTTACTTAAATGGAGCAGTAGCTTGTACTAATCAGTTCAGTCTCAGTGCGGAATTCCAAAACGAATGCAAGTATCAACTACACTTTCTTTTGCTTAACTTCTTTTCCTTCATTTTATACATTTGGCACATTTAACTTTAGTTTAGAATATTAGATACATACTTTGTAAAGCTGCTAAGACAGCAAACATTATATACCAACAGTAACAGATACATAAAAATGTTCCTATGTTAATGGCATTTTGACACTCCTCATATATCAAAGCAATGCAAACTTTTCCAGCCTCAAGTTGTTGAAATGCATGCTTGTTCTATGCATCTGTACTTTTACTAAGTAAAACATGCCAATAAAAGGAATATTGTGTACTTATTTTTTATTTTAATAAAGAAATCTCTATTCCCAGCAGTTCAAGCGTCAACATTTTTTAAGAAGCGTGAGTATGCCAGTAGAAAACACTAGAATTCCTTCACCTCCCAATGAACAGAAGCGGCCTATACTGCAACGTCAGACCTCAATCACCCAGACGATAAAAAGGTAAATATTGATTGCCTATGCTTGAATTATATGTGTTGTGCTAGGTTAGTCTATGAGAAAATATAGACAGATTTTTATTTTTGTTTGTTTGTTTTTTGTAGCTGGCAAAAGATATTTAGTGTGCTTTTCAATGAAAGTTGTAAGGGCCCCTTCATACCTACATGTGTGCGTTACCACACACACACACACACACTGCCAAATGCAAGATGTATCCATCCTGCACAGAGACCTCTTGCCTTCAAACGTCCGGGGGGCATGTGCTGCTAGAAAAGAAAGGCCAACACTCCATATAGCTCTTTTACTGCAAACAGCAATCACCAACGCACATTTTGAAGGCACGCAGACCCCCTTTTGTTTAAGGCCTTCCTTGACAAAGAGGACCTGCATGCCTTAGAAACCTGTGTTGGTGATTGCTGTTTGCAGTAAAAGAGCATTGGAGAAAGTGCTGGCCTTTCTTTACGCTGTACCACACACACTGTGGTGTGCTCACATAGGTGTGAATAGGGCTTTTTACTAAGCTTATTGACTCCTGGGCTTAGTGTTAGACCACTGACAGCCAGCAGTTCCAGAAGTAACACCCGCCACAGCTGCTTAGACTGGCTCTTGCACAAAAATATTTTTCCAGTTTAAAAAGTGCCACCCGGGACTCAAGTGATTCTTTTAGGAACAATTTGTTTTTCACCTGTACAGTATTTATTTTCTTATTGTTCATACTAGTACTGTTAACACTCTAAATGGTTAGCATTTTGTTTTCTTCAATGTTTCTTTCCTGTTTTTCTTGGAAGCAAGCGTGTGACGTTTGACAGAATCAGTACTATGCCGGTCAAGGGGCACCTAGCTAGCAGGAGACCTATTCATTTTAGGAAACGTCAAACAATCTCCACTTTCTTTTTCAGGTAGTTTAGTAAATGCATGTAGCGTTCTGCATGGTTGGTTTGTTTTAGAAAATTATAAATCCCTAACTCCTGCTAGTTTTACATGACTCCCTGCTGTTAAATTGCATTGGTTCATGTTTTGGAAATCTGCAGTGTTTTTTAGTAGTTTGAGACAGTAAATGCATGCCTATCTATGATTAACCTAGACTATTTATGTTTATATAACATACTTAAAGATTCTGTCCAATCAAAACTATTACTTTAGTTATATATAGAGCCCAGTGTGCTGACTTTTCCCTTGTTTTCTTTTATGTCTTGAATATTACAATGCCAAGTTCTCCCTGCCAAAGTTTTGGGTGTGCCATGGGGGTCCCGTAGACATCTCTATGCATTGAAAATCACGCGACTACCATGCGGTTTTCTTAGCAAACAAAACGCGCGATAACCGCACAAAGACAGCTCACCAGCTCAATCGCCAAGCTGTGAACCTAGTCTGACATAGAACAAATTAAAACTCTAATGGGAAGGTGAGGGTGGTTAATATTGGCCACAGACTCAGGAACTTAAATACAGCCATCTCACCAATGAAGTCCTTAAGAGACTTTAAAAAAATTGAGATAGTTCAAATCTCTAGCATCCAGCAAGACTGAAATATCTATATTTGGTGGATTGGCCCTTTCACAGAGTTTTAGTGAACATAATCCATCATATTAGTATTATAAAATGGAACTGCAGCTAAACCATTCTGAACCTTGGTCCACACTTTGATGAAGAAAAACATTTTAAAGCATAAAGTAAAGCTGTAGAATTACCACACACACATTATTTGGCTTGGCTCTTCCTTGACAAACAGAATAAATTAAAGGGTGGCATTTAAATGTAATGTTCATGATGCAATTTAAATTTATAGACTATATCCAGTACATTCTACGGAAAGACCAAATGGGATTCCCCATGACAGCATTCTCCATATAATTATTTCCAGCTTTACGGCATAATCACAAGGTGTTTTGTGAATGGGGGAAAGGGGAGATAAGCGACAGTACAGCTTCTGTGTATGCGAGTTGCAGCTCTCATAGTCTCAGTGCTGACAAAATAGCAAGAGCTATAGCATCCAGCATCAACAAATCTGTAAATAATAAAATGAACGCGGAGGTGGCATAAACCTCATGAGAGTTAAATATTTGTTATGCCAAGTGTTTCCTCAAGATTTCCCCTCTATTTCTGTTCCGGTGACAAAGCAAATTGTGGGTTTTTCCATCAGTTTTAGTTCTGCAGCCAGAACAAGAAAAAAATATATATTTGTTATGCAGCACATTTTAATAAAAAAAAAAAATTGCCTGGAGTTTTCCTTCAAGTAGAGTGAAATAATGACTCGCCGCCCGCCAGAGAGGTAAGTGACAAGCGTCTTCTTTTGCAGGCTCCTTTTTCACTCTATTTCTTTTCACTTCAGTAGGTTATACTTTTATATGTTAAATAAACATAGTAGAATGATAAGAATAGTTGAGGCTACCCTCATGTGATACCGAACATGGATCCCAACAATCACAGTAGCTTTGTTGAATATAGATGTGGTGATAAGACAAAAACAAAAGAGCGGCTTTTCCCTCCGAAGTAACACTTTACTTATATCAATTTGAATAAAAAACATACTCGCAAATACTGATGAGCATGAGGCATTCTACATATTTGGCTGGCTGACGCATTTCCGGGGCAACGCCCTCATCCTCAGAGCTGATCCGCCTCCGGTCCTAACATGCCAAGAAGGCCCACTCAGCCTATCACATGATGAAGATGATTATGACAGGATAGAATAAGGCTTGAGCCGGAGTGTTGGGACAACGTGAAGCCTATTTGTGATTGGCGGGGCGAGCAATAGCCTTATGTAATAGGCTGAGTTTACCTTCTTTGGCATGTTGGGACCGGATTTGCTCTGAGGAAGGGAGCATTGCCCCGGAAACGCGTCAGCCAGTCTAGCTCAGGGCTGAGTGTGCTTTGTGAGTTCTGTCCTTGTCGGCTGATTTGGATACACGATATCAGCCTGTGGATCTTAGTCAAGACTGCAGATTTCAGTGCAACTATGTAGAATGCTTCATGCTAATCAGTGTTTGTAAGTATGTTTTTATTTAAGATTGACAAAAATAAAGTATTACTTCACAGGAGAAGGGCCTCTTTTGTTTTTGGCTTTGCACTAGATGACCAGTGAAGTCTCCCAGACTGAGGAGGGTGACCGCCCTGTAGGAGATTTATCTTCTTCCTTTTTTTCGAGTTCCACAACAAGGGTCCTGAGCGCTTGTAGATGAATGGTTTTATGGCGGATAGATGTGGTCTAGACCAGGTAAACAACCTTGGCACTCCGTGGTAGTGCTACAGATCCCATCTCTGGGAGACATACCTGTGGATGTCAACATCTTGCAATGCCTTAATGGGACAACAGCAGGAGTGCCTGGTCTAGACTGCCAGTTTGCTTTATTGGCAACAGTTGATATGTTGAAAGATAATTGAAGAATTGAAGTCAATAGGCAAGAGTGTAGTATATAAACAAGCTAGTAGAGTTCAGGCAGAATTGTAGGACAGGTGCGAATTTCAGATCAGGTACCAAACCAGCACAGTGGGCCCGGAGAAATGTGTTGTTCCGACTTCCCTAATGCACTAAGCAGAATTCACATTGGCTACTTGGTAACGCCACAGGCAAGCTTAAAAGAGAACTATGGGGTAACCCTTTTTGCCATAGTTCTCTTTGGGGTCACAGAAGGACATATACTAATGTCTCCTGTACTAATGGGTCTCCTGTGACCCAAAACTCAGCATATAGTAGGCCATTGCCCGCTATACACTGACAGCGCAGTGCCCTGCTGCAGCCCAGACGGATCCTGACAATATTATCGGGATCCACCACGCTTCTTAATTGACAGCTGGCTTTGCCCCTCTAGAGCAAGAGCCAGCTGTGTCCACCCTCTTTCCTATCTGTCCCTCAGCTCAGCACTGGGAGAGGGGAGGGGGGAATCCTTGCGGGGAGTAGTGATTGACAGTCACCGCTCTCTGCAGGGAGAAGATTCGGAAATGAGCGATCGGCTGTATGTGATCTCTCAGTTCACTATCTATAGAGCTGACGTGTGACAGCTTCAGTGTCACAAGTCGGCTCTAATTATGGGGATGAGTGTATTTCACTCTGCCCATAATTCTCCTTTAACTGTGTGTGAGTTGCAGTACTACAAAATTAAGAAAAGAGTGCAAGCACACACCTAGGCATGACACACCCTACCAAACGAGAAACCACCATCAATGATTACTAGCTACAAAGGTGGGGAAACTGGGGCTGCCAACAGGAGATAAGTGGGAGTAATTGGTTTGTTACAGGTGTATTTTTCTCTTAAATGTGGCTGTTACTCTGTCTGCAAGATCTTTCTCCAACCGTGTATATCTTACAGCTTGGTTAAAAGTAATAAAACAAGATTTCCTTCTATATTTGCTGTCACCCTTTTTAATCCTTCATTATATACGTATGCTTGTGTGTTGGCTGCCATAGTGGAATGTAAGCCTCAGTGCTACTGTGGAACTTGGAACAGAAGTAAATGCTGATTAGCAGAGCTCATATTTTATTGGCATTTGAAGCTGCAACAATAATGATGTAGCCTCAGGAAAAAAGTGGACAGTGACATGTGATAACCTTGAACATACTGTGGGACACTTATATGAAACACTGAGACATGCATTTTTTTAAAATAATGTGTGTATTTTGTAATGGAAAGTGTATATTTTTTTATAACATATTATCTTTAATATTCAGCGCACCTTTATATTTCTAGAAAAATCCCCACATTTCTTAAGTTAGTTTTATAACTACCCCCCGACCTTTGGCCTTGAAGGCGTTTGGCAAATGAGATAACGTGACCAACAAAAGCACCTCACGCCATTGTACTCTCCGAGTATTGTTACATTGTAGGTTGTTTTATACCAGGTATATTTTTCTATGAATGCAAGATTTTACTTGATATGCAAGAATGATCACAGTATATGGTAAGAGGAATTGCTTTATGAGAATAATGAAGTGCTTGTAGGTTCACACAAAGTATTAATATTACATGTATTTAGAGCTGACAATTTTATGAGAGCTTTACATAC